GAGAGCTACAGTGCCACCCATTGAAAAAACCATACACAAATGTATTTATTGCGCACAAAAAAGTGCGCTCTCTCTCTCTCGGTTTATTTCATGTTTTTCAAACTGTCACATCAAAATATTACTAACCGTGTATTTTAAACATATTCTTTCACTGATTCCTCGACAAAACATTCCTTTTAATTGTTGTCAATAGCCCCCACCCCCCACCCCACCACACACCGGGCCCTGAAATTAAGATAATTTCGAAAAGTTCGTCCATTTACATTGCCATTTTTGTTTGTAAGATAATTCGGTCTAATGCGCTTCGTACAGATGTCAACTACGAGAGTACTTGATAAAAAGATAAGTACTTTTTTTTATTTAGCTTTTTTGCACTTGAGGTAAGAATTTGGAAGAATTAATCAAGAATTAAGCGCAAATTTTTGTGCGCAATAATATACAGTTTTTTCAATGGCTGGCACTGTATCTCTCCGGTCTATCAAAATATTTTTTTCGGAGAGCCACAGTTCTGCAGCTAGATTTAATGGCCCTATGACTTTCATATTTCACATGTATATTCCTTGTGACAAGACCTTTCTCTGGGTACCACCAAAGAACTATATGCGGTATTAACCAACATTTGCCCCCCAAAATCAAACTTTGATGGAGTAATATTTAATTAAGTCCTTAAACAGAGGAGTATATGCTGACTTCAAAGCACTGAATAATTTCATAAGTAATGACGTCATATTTTCACACGTAAATTTCAGTTTTTTAAATTTTGCAGAAAAATGTACATATTTCGTCGATATTTTTTAGCGCATGTGTGTTCAGGATTAATATTTTGATATAATGTGTAGAATGATAATATCAATGAAATATGTCAATATTGTTACTGAACACACATGCGCTCTATAAATTATAAAGCTTAAATTGTTGAAATTTTGTCCATTTTGTCCTCTTTCTGAAAAATAGAAAATCGGACTAGTTTGTAACGTCATAAAAACAGAAATTGTGAATACACTGCTCTGGAACTATAATATTTTCTGTTAACTTATACTTCAATTTAAATCAGCACATTTCAGGAAGTTTTTTTGTGTAAAGCAATACGCATATAGTTCTTTGACCTTCGAGTTTGACCCACTTTTACACAAAAATTTCTACCTTTTACTCTGGCCATATCTTTTAAACAGTAAAAATCAGGACTCATACTTCAAATATGAATTTTTTGTGTAAAGACCTTTTATTGAGTACCAACAACTTTGACCTTTGGATCTTGATCTTGGAGATTTCAGTACGTATGAAAAATTTTTTAACCTTGGTCATAACTTTTGAACAGTAAGGTCTAGGGCTTTCATACTTCACATAATTACAACTGTATGTAATCCTGCTAAGAAGACACTTCATTGGATACCAAAGACTTTCACCCTTTGACCTTGAACTTTGGCCTACTTTTAAAATACAAGCTTGACCATAATTTTTGAAGGATTACGGCTAGGGCATACTTCACATATTTAATACTTGTGATAAGACCTTTCATTTGGTATCAAAAACATTGACCCTTTGACCTTGAAGTTTGACTCATTTTTACACAAAAAATCCAAGCATTTGCTTTGGCCTTAATTTTTAAACGGTGTATACAAGTAATTTCATATTTCAAATATCAATTCTTTGTGGCAAGACCTTTCATTTTAAATAAACACTTTTGACCTTTTAATCTTGACCTTGGAGATTTCCGTACTGACGAAAACCTGGGTCATAATTTTTTAACAGAAGGGCTAGGGCTTTCATGCTTCACATATTTTATCCTTGTGACAAGACCTTTCATTGGATATCAAAAACTTTTGACCTTGACCTTAGAATTTGACTTACTTTTTACAAACTTTAACCTTTGCCATAACTTTTGAACTGGTGTTGCTGGGGTTATATATTTCACATTTGTTTTTCTTGTGAAAAGGCCTTACTTTAGGTACCAACATATTTGATCTGCATTTGAGAAAGCTTAACCTTCTCCATGTTGTCATACGGGGGCATCTGTGTTTCACATATACATCTTGTTTTTACTCCTTTCAGTTTGAACTTGTGGTCTCAACCTCCCCTGGTGTTCCATCGCCCACAATGATGATTTGAACAGATCTAAATATACACTGCATGAGAATGCTTCCATATAAATATGACTAATCTACCTACACAGCGTTTGTAAAGAAGATTTTTAAGATTTTCCCCATATATTCCTATGTTAAACTCTGCTCATCTACTGTGGACCTGTCCTATCCACGGGTGTCATTATTTGAACAAACATGAATCTACACTACCTGATGCTTCCAAAAAATTATGACCAAACACGCTGTTCTCTAGAAGATTTTTTTTTTTTTAGATTTTTCATACATGTTTTTATGTAAAACTTTTATCCTCCCCCGTAGCTCCGCCCTACACCTGGGGGTCATAATTCGTACAAAGTTGAACCTACACTTTCTAAGGATGCTTTCTCAAAAGTTTGATATTTTCTTCCACAATAGTTCTTGAGAAGAAGATTTTTAAAACATGCCACCAAATTATCACTGTTTCTTAATTATTTTCCCTAGAATGAGAGGAGAGTGTGGTCCATCATTTAAACAAACTTGTATAATCTCTACCAATGGATGCTTTGTGACAGGTTTGGTTAAAATAAGCCAAGTGGTTCTTGAGAAAAAGTAGAAAATTTAAAAAAGTTTACAGACAGACAGACAAATGGACGACCACCAAAATGTGATCAGAAAGGCTCACTTGATCTTTCAGCTCAGGTTAGCTTTAAAAAATTAAACGGACATTTTGAGTCCATCGAAATATATGGATGATTTGTCTATAGATGATAAAAAAATTGAAATATTAGAAACAAAGGACCCAGGGCTGACATAGCTCACATTAGCATTGACAAGAGAAAAGGCAAAAGAAATCAGTTTAGTATTGAAAATGTTAAATAATAAGTGAACCCGACCTACCCCTAAAAGGGAGAGGGAGGGTTACGATTTGAACAAAATTGAATATACACAAGGTAATTTACATATTTTTTCACTAACTGTAAAAGTTCATATTGTGGCCTCACCTTACTCTTGGGGACATGAATTTATTTCACCAAAAATCAACAGCTTAAAATCGTACGACTTTTCAATTCTATCTACAACCATTCCCATGATAAATTAAAGTTCAGGATTTTAAATATCATTGAAGCTGCTTTTTCAATGAAAACGGAACTCATAAATTTACTTTCCTTATCATAAGTTATTTGCAAAGTTATTTTGTTAAAACATAAAGATTGTACACACTAGTACTCTGAAGCTGACATCAAAAAGATGCTTGAGATTCTGATTGTGGTTTTTTGAGACCAGGTCTTCCAACAATCTATTGGAATTCCCATGGGTACCAATTACACTCCGTTATTACCAAGCTGCAGAATTGTAGCTCTCCGATAAAAAATATATTGACAGACCGGAGAGCTACAGTGCCACCCACTGAGAAAAATGTATGTTTATTGCGCACAAAAAAATGCGCTGTTTCTCGATTTATTTCTCCATGTTTTTAAATTGTCATCTCAAAATATTACTATTAAAACGTGTGTTCGTAACATATTATTTCACTGATTCCACTAAGCATCCCTTATAATTGTTGTTAAAAGCCCTCCAAAATTTCGTCTATTTATACAGCCATTTTGGTTTGCAAGACAATTTGGTCCAACGCGCTTCGTGCAGATGTCGACTATGAGAATACTTGACAGAAGAATAAGGACTTTTTAAAAATCTATCTTTTTTACAATTGAGGTTAGAATTTGGAAAGTTAAATTTAGAACTAAGCGCAACTTTTTGACCTTGGTGTCATATGAAAGGGCTCAATTAGTGGAGTGTGAATGCCAAATACTAAGTCTCCATCTTTCTTCGTTCAAAAGTTATGGCGAAGGTTAAAGTTTACCGACAAAAAAAGGTATATTTAGCGTATAGTTCACAGTCATTTGAAAGAGAATAATTAGTGGAGTATGCATTCCATATATGAAGTCTCTTACGTTTATGGTTCAAAAGTTGTGGCGAAAGAGTTTGGAGACAAACAGACAGATAGACAGGACAAAAACTTTCGATCCAGGTGCATAAAAATGAGCAAAACTCTTATTAAAAACAAGTGACATCAAAGTTAATGAGAAATATATGTTGATGCAGTTGAATCAATTGCTTCCATCAGTGTGTGTCTGCAAGGTTTTGATGCAGTTGAAGAGCTCTCATTAATATGTATCAGTACATTGAGTTTAATAACGAGAGGTCCATGGGCCACATCGCTCACCTGGGCAATGTGGCTGGGGAAAAAAAGCAAAAATCAGTTTATTATTGAAAAGTTTAAACCCAAAAGTGGACCCAACCAATCCTTTAAGAGGAGAAGGTATGATTTGAATAAACTTGAATGTACATTAACTAAGGATGCTTGCATATTTCTTTAAGTACCTGTTTGCCCCAGTGCTTCTGAGAAGAAGATGAAAATGGGAAAAATTTACAACGACGACAGAGACTACGACAACAACGACGACGATAGACAACGGACAAATTTTGATCAGAAAAGCTCACTTGAGCCTTTGGCTCAGGTGAGCTAAAAATATCTTGAATGGTTTATGTAAAACTGAGTAAAAGGGTAAAGGTCACAGTGAAGTGCAAAGTCTAAAAAAGTTGATGCAGTAGAATTGTTTTTATAAGTTTGTTTCAGCATATCAATTTGATAAAAAATATCTCGAATAGTTTCTTTAAAACTGAGCAAAACACTGATTAAAGAAAAGCGAGGTCAAATTCAATGTCAAAAAAAGATTAATGCACTTGATTTTTATAAAAATATCTTAAATTGTTTTTTAAACTAAGCTTTGAACTGATCTACATACAAAGCGGGACGGAAGGACGGAAGACTGACATGACAAACTTTATATGCTCCAACATACAATGCAAATAACTTTTTTTCTTTTTTGTTGTGATAAATTACAATATGACTATAAAATAGAAATACTAACGAACCTGGATGAATAAGAGAGACACAGACTCTTTGGATAGGATGAAACCATCCATTTCTACATTGATGAATGGTATATGTCCTGTTGTTGACACAATCCACATAAAAGGAGGACCAAATTTGTCCAGCAAAATAGTTTGGACCATCGGGCAGTCCAACGCAGCTTGGCAACCGATCAGGACAAGGTATACATGAACTGTTAGATTGGCACAAATTTTGACTATATTCACCTACAAAAAATAAATAATTACATTTTAAGTTATGTTTTTTTTCTAGATCTTAAGCTTATTAAAGTGGAGAATAAACAGGAGGCAGTATAAAAATCCCGATTTTGACGTGGTTCTATTACGTTCTAACGTCATCGTCTGTCACGGTTGATTGTATATATATATATATGAAATAAAATATGTTTGTATATAGATAAACCATAAACATACATGGAGCTTTGGGTTCTGGCCTGTTTCCACAATGCACTAATCTGAAGTCAAGACATGACCCCTGCTGGCCAGAGTAGAGTTTTGGGTACTTGCATTCTGACAGGGGAACAATGCCTCCCTTCATATTTGAACAATTGTAGTATCTCGCACAACTATCGCGGTCCTCAATATGCAAAGAAGGGTTTGCTTTACAGACTACACTAATCTGACCTACAGTAAGTGAAAGAGTTAATGAGCATGTTATATTACACAAGAATTGTGCTTTATCCTTACCAAATCCCTGAAAAAGATTTCACAATAAATTATAAGAATGTTAATAATATAAACATTCAATGTTGTTTTCGTTCCGAAATCCATTGAAAATCTCGAACATAAAATACATAGTTAGAAGCACATCTATCATTATGTATTTTCAATACTATTTGATGACCAAAATGAGCATTCTTTTTTGTTCAATTAGATTAAAAAACAAATACCCTATAAAATCATCGTAAAAATATAACAATTTTCGTTCAAATTTAATTTCTCTTTTTCTCTCTCCCAATATTCGTTTGCATATTTCAATTTTCCGCATTATATCGACTCCTACTTTATGGAGATAACGAACAGTATTCAGACGTAATGTCACCTTAAACAAATGCGAATCGGAAGAAGAGCAAACACGGACCTCAAAAACATCAGAGGTGGTATTAGTTGCCATGGAGGAGTCAGCATCCCCTAGCTTATCGGTTACACCCGCTGTGGGCTCCTTGTTATGACCAGGAAATATGGAACAGTCTGTATGTATACAATTCTGAGCGTAAATAATGGCCTATTAGAAAAAAAGAACCTTATCCAACAATCGACCGAATGATATAATGTATATTTGCTAATAAGGTCATTGTATCGACAATAAAACGAAACTGTAGATATCATTGATTCATTAAATTGTTTTTTAATAGCTTCTTTTCGTTTTCGAAATGCGATTAAATAGTTTACGTCATCATGTTTATCTTTATGTTTAGGTGTGAGATTACTGTTTAAGTAATGTATCCAAATATAAAACAGATCTGTCAGACTCTGTGGTATCTTTTATTTTAAGGTCACCGAGATGTATCGAGTCGACATATGAATGGAATTAACTATTATACATTTATTGCATGATAGTGAGGGAAATATGAAGACTTATTCAGCCAAGAGCCCGAGGGTAATATGATATTTCTTGGCTGAATAAGTCTTCATGTTTCCCGAACAGTCATGCAATGAATTGTTTATTATACCAATACAAGCAAAACTTTCATTCTTTACGTAAAGTTACTATAAAAACCTTTGGTCAACACATTATCATCAATTTTATGACGTAAACCAGGTTATTGTGACGTCTACTATACTCTCGGGAGTTTTCTTTAAACGAACGATAATTTTTGCGGGAAAATGCACTAAGTACTGTATCCGAAGAGGTGGAATATGATGAAAAGCGTGCCGACGGCCGGGAAATATGAAGTTTTACAGCCCGATCACGTGATAACTTAGAACCAATCAGATAACACGTTGTTTAGAATATTTATAATGAGGTATAATAATGTTAATTGATAATACGTCATTGAAATATGAAAATGCCGTGTTGAAAGCTACAGCAAATGTTCTCTTCTTCTCAAGTATAAGATTTTAATTTAATTCTGCTTAATATGAATATAAAAAATAGGCCTTCTAAAAACAGGGCGCAATTGGCACCCATTGGAATTTCAATGGATTGTTGGAAGATCTTGAAGTAAATTTTAAACAAAGTTATGGCTAACTGGCAGGGATGGCATCAAATGGTTGTAATATAATTATAAAGCGTTATATTAAATTGTTATTTACACGCGTAATATTCAAAATGAAAGTTCATTTTACTCATGAATTCGCAAAAACCACACTGTACTGGAATATGGAATTTCATGAACAAAACTAACCTGGAAAATAAGGAGAGACACACTGTTTGAACTTTGGGTCAAAAACTTGCTCATGTTGACATTTTCTAATCTCTATTGTCCTATTTCGGTCACATAAGATGTACCAGTATGTCCAGATTCTGTTTGGATAAGCATGAGGTCCATCAGGAACCCCCACACAACTTGGTAGCCTTTCAAGGCAGGGGATACAGTCTGAGTAATTTAGTCGACATGCATTTTGCTTGTATTCACCTAAAAAAAACCAACAAAGTTTACCTCAACAAATCAAAAAGAAATGAAAACCCTGAGACATACCAAATGAATATTTTGGTAATTTACATCGACGCAAATTTGGCATGGATGGAATATACATATCAAGATCACATACCTGGCAAAACTATTATTTATGCATAATAAATAGAATGTTTTTGACCCGTCCGTCAGTTGTTGCGTGGGGTATAATAATCTAAAGGTGTACATTCCAGGATAGATGTAACATTAATGCCATTTTGATCTGATAGGGCTTGCATTTACTTAGGAATAAACTTATTTTAAAAACTTCAAATTACTCATCTAGCCAGAAAATGTCATTCAGATCTAACATCTGGAGCAAGTTTGAGAATATTCATTCTTTTGTTTCATCATCCATGCAAATTATGTTTAGACAGATTGATAGAAACTTATAAATTCCTGGTAATTGACCTGCATCAAAAACTTTAACCTGGCCCATTATCTGAAAATGTTTGAAGGATCCAGCATCTGAAGCAAGTCCATAAGTGTGCATCACCTATGAAAGTTTGGTCAACATAAGGATCATAGTCACTTGAAAATGAGACATGCACCAAAAACCTGTTCATTCATTCGGAAAATGTGGGTCAGATCCAGCATCCGAGGCAAGCCCGGTATTGTGCATCCATACATGTGGATGTATTATCCATGCAAGTTTGATCAACATAGGACTCATAGTTACTTGGAAATGAGACATGCACCAAATACTTTTACTTACATCAAAAAAATTAATTTGGTCATTCCTTTTACTAAAATTGCAGCATCTGAAACCTTGACTGGTACAGTTATGCACACGTGTACTAGAAGCATCTTCCATGCATCTCTGATCAATTTAGGGAATATAAGTACTAATAAAGAAAAATGCACCAAAAACCTTAACCACCTGGAGACACAGGCGCCGAGGGTATAACATAAGCTCCCCAAACTTCGTTGAGTTGAGCTAAAATACTGGGGCCCGTTTTACAAAAGGACTTGCGACTTAAGACCAAATTTAATTCTCCGTATAAATTTTGAATAATCATTATATCGAAAATTATTTTAAATTTTTTAAGAGGAATGTGGTATGATATTTTTAAACAAACAATTTCAAAGAGAAATATTAATTTTGCAAAGTATAACAACAATCTGAAGTTTCTGGTCTTAGTCGTAAGTTCTTTTGTAAAACGGGCCCCTGAATACTGAAACCTAATTTAATTTTAGTGTAGGATACAGGTTTTGAAGACATAAATTATGATTACCTTATTTAGACCCGTATTAATCAGAGGAACATACTTTAATAAGATGCTGCCGCATAGATCTAAAGCATAGAAATATTTTAAAAGAACGTCTAACTCGAAATCTGTCAAATGCAAATTATATGTATCCGAGTTTTCGTGTACGGGTGGAACTACAAATATGCTAAATCACCTTACATTAAAGCATAATTCGGAAACCAGCGACTTGCAGGAAACTCCACAAATTTAACCAGCAATTACTGGGTATCTTAATTCTCCTTGATCGCAACATGTATCGGGGGAAGATAAAGAAAACGTTTTAAATCTAACTGCCCCTTTCAATTTACATTTAAATTCAAAATTTTTCGAAGATATTGTGGTTTTTTTAGCTTGTATTTGTAAATAAAGTTCATATACGTTACATTTGTGGTTTATTTCTACCAATAAGTAAATGGATGAGTTTAATGATAAATTCGGTAACTATTATAACAAATCAAAGTACTCAGGAGTACAGAGAGCCGGGCTCATTTACAGAGTTGAATTTTTTACATGAATCATGCATTCATAATTGTATTAATAGATATAAAATAGCAAGAATTTCAGACAATGGAAAATTATGTAAATATACTGACAAACAATTAAAAACATAATAAAAAAACTAATAAAATAAGGGCTTCAGTGACATATGATTATCTCATTAAAAATTCTTCTGTAAAAATTATTTTGAAATATCAGTGTACTAGAATATGATAAGACAATGAGTTTATTGGTCCTAATACCACGGTCCGAATTTATCAGGATCAGAGTTAACCTGGCACCGCCGAATGTAAACAAACAGACCAGTCTAGTTCCCTTTCCTGCTTCCCTTTGTTTCTGTAGAGAACTACATGTAGGCTACGATAACACTGACAATCAAAAAATCTTACGCAAATGAACTATATGTTGTTTGACTTAGGACTGAAGTTTTCAAAGTCATTACTACTGATATATTTATTTGTACATAGATAAAACTCCGATTTCTTTTAAAATTTGTCACTTTATTTAGCATTTATCATGTTTACATTATCTCAAAAGTAGTTGAGAATAAGTACTTTATTTTTACACGTAACTTTAATTTGGCGACTATGGGGTGGACTTCCTGCCTTGAACAGGATGACATAAGCCGGCAATTGCTCTTTGAGCAATAAGCCCGGCTAAAAACCATCCGAGTAACCGGGTACTCGATCGAAAGATCAAACGAGTAACCGGTTCCTAAAAATCGTCCAATTTGCCAACACTAATAATTTTATTTCTTTTATGAAAGTAATTCAATTTAGAACGCGATCTTTTTGATCACCCTCGTGAATAAATTTTTTGAGACTTACACGGAGACATTGGTTCTTTCCTTCCAATACACTGAACAGTATGAAATGCTTGACATTTCATCGTTTGGCTGGAGAAAAGTTGTGGGTAAGGACATTCCTGAATTTCGAGTAACTGTGATTTTGATGACTGTAACTGTTTGCAGATAAAGTATTGTGCACAGTTATTAAGGTGTGGCATGAAGGCCTGAGGATGATTTCCACAAAACTCCACAATGTTATCTAAATAAAAAGAATCATTATGAAAAAGTAGTTTTTTCAGAATAACCAAATGCAAAAACATCATTTTAAATGGAGTGGATATCATAACTGAACTCACGTTGAGGTATCCACTTTACACAGATACGTTGGTATGGATCAAAGTATCCTTCTGAACACTTTGTCATTTCTACTGTTCGGTTATGATAGCATATTATGTAGTCAGACATCCACCTCCTACCCAAAAATTCATGTCTTCCATCAGATAACCCTAAGCATGATGGGAGTCTTTCAGGACAAGGAATGCTTGATTTTGGAACAGCAATGGAAGACTCTCTGTTATTAATATATTCACCTATAAACAGAAAATATTTTTATAGACACAACTATTTCAATGTAATGCAAAATAATACTAATTTAGACCATTGATTACATGTAGCCCGTTTTCATCAAGCTTATAATATTTATCTAATCTATGAATGAAAATAAAATTGACATGGTCCATATTGATCACCTGCGTGAGTCATCTAAGCACAGGTGTTCTGATTCTGGAAAAGATAATTGGATAAAGAACATCCAACACAATTTTAAAAGTTTTTGTCAATTCCCTTGTAAATTTTGATCATGGATAGTGGATTTATTCTATTTAGGAACGATCTTTACATTTGATTCCGCAACCCAGAGACGCCTTACATATTAATATGACTAGCCACAGCCCTTATTTTCGCGTTTTTCACGAATATTCTTATGTAAAAGTTGATTGAACTTGAATACTGCTCGTTGTCTCCACATATTTCATCTCTACTGTCGCCCCACCCTAGCCCAGATGCCATGATTTGAACAAAATTGACTATAATCTAGCTAGAATGCTTGTATAGTGATATGGCCCAGAATTAACAAACAACAAAAAAAAAATTAAAGCCGGAGTTCCGACCTAACACGAAAACTCCTAGCCCATGGACTACATGTGTATGTCACATAGGAATGTCAAATCGGTCAATATTTGATTGTCGGTTACTTAGACGTTTTTTTTTAGATCTAATACCCGGGTACTCGGTAAAAAAGTCAATACATTGGTAAATTTTCTTGAGCCCGGCTAAGCTTACTTAAATTAAAACGATGATTTCTAATACATTTCTAATTCATATACACATGTAATTATATAAACATCGAGTCAAACGAAAACTATTTTTTAAGTTAATTCATATATCCAAACAAAAAAAAAAACACAAAAAGAATTAGTCTAAGAATTGAACTCTTTCTTTAAATTATGATAATGATATTACAAATAAAATTGTCGGAGAAAATAAAATTAATGGGCATGTTTTCGCAGAATGACTGAAATGCATTGTTTTTTTTTTTTAATAACTTTTACTAGAGTACAGTTGTACAGTTTTTATTCTGCGTAAGTTATTCTTTACCCACTGAAGATTTATTTATTTTTTTTTTTGGCAAAAATTGCAATGTTCTGATGTCACATTATACCTGACATAATTTTTGTTTGTTTTACATTTTGCGATAATCGCAGAAAGAGCGAAAATAGATTCGCGAAAAAAAACGGATGATTTCACAGAGTCATATGTTATAATATATAATCAACACTTTACATAACGTTAAAATTTTGCATTCAGAGCAAAATTTGTATTTTAGTAATATACAATACAAATATGAACGCCCCTTCATATGTCATTCAGAAGTTATCACCGAAGTTGATTTTTTTAAAAAATTAGGCCAATCGTGGAGGTCAAGGGGTTAGAAATCATAATAGCTCGGAAATATCTTGTCACAGGAAAATGCTACTATATTATTCTAATAAATATACATTAGAGTTAATTATTGGAAAACCGTAAATTTTACCTTATACGAACCTTTGCTCTTAAATGATCTGTGTACGAACAAAATATTTTTTCTATATTACCTTATTTCTTTTCATAACTTTGATTTTTTTTTTAATGTACTAACATGGACTCTTTGGTTCAAAACGACTGTGACATTGAGTAGTGGTGAAATCCTGACAAGAGTGTGAGATAGTCGAAAAGAGCTGAGGGTATGGACACTCCATCAAGTAGCCCCCCAGTCTGGTGTTTCTTTGAGAACAGTTGTAGTACTGAGCGCAATTAGCCGGATGTGGAACAACACTACCTGGGTTACTTTGGCAATATCTTTCCCCTTTACATAGAATACAATTTTAGTAATATTTTTTCAAATAAATTTCCAGTGAAATGAAAGTTGAATATAGCGAAAAATATACCGGTATTTGTAATGATTACTAACCTGGCCGTAAACGGCTATCACACTCCCTTTTCACTGGATTGAACACACCTGATTTACATGAGTTAACTTCAATTGTTCTGTTCCTGAAACACAGAATGTACTTCACCGTCCACAGAGCACCCGCAAAAGAGTTGAATCCATCAGGTTGTCCAACACAGCTAGGGAGACGTGTCGAACAGGGGACACAATCCATACCTTTACTACTGCACAAGTTCTGTCTGTATTCACCTGTTTGTCGAATTAAAATTGGCTCTCACCAGTTCATTATATGAAATGAAAACACGTAAGAATTATTCTTATGTAAAAAAAAAAAATGCTTAAGAACCTTTTCTTCACTTCGCACTAATTTTAGGGTACTTTTCTGTATACTTATTCTGACCTACTGTTTAACATATATATAAAACTAAAATAAACTAATATGCACTAAAGGAAATAATTTAAAATAATTCAATTATTTTAAAATCATTTTCATCAGTGTAAAGAGGGACCATAAGGTAAAATAGACGCATCATTTTCTTTCGGAACTGAAATTTAACACTTTTATTTTGATAAAAAGGTGATATGTCAATAGGAATCTCAATAATTTTGAAGTGAAGAGGTGTATTTGAAGATTCTGTTTTAGCCTTGTTTATTGATGATAATTACTCTAGTAATGGAATTTTAAGCGTCGATTTCCAATCATAGAAACGATAATAGATAATAATATCTGTTGCCCTTCATTGAAAATTCAGCTGAAAATGACAGTTGGCTATATTTCCGTGTCTGGCTATATGGCTCGGCGACTTATAGCCGCTTCCCTAAAAAAATATAACAGTGTACACATACATGTATATCGTGGTGATCCATCTTATTGGCTGGGCGCCGCTTCTCCGTGTACATGTACAAAATTGATCAATGTAATATAGTCCATATTTTGTAATACAGTCAGTAGTAAACCCAACTATATGTATTTTGAGCGAGGTTAAAAATATTTTTGTTTAAGATTGCTTGAAGATTTACATCAAAATTGATACTGGTTTGTAATTGAAGACCTAAATTTGATCCTTAGCTACTATAAAAAAAAATACAAATTGATATTATAATTTGTTGTTTTTATGCAAGATTGATAGGGTAAAAAGTAATCATTTTCCTATTTTTTGGGTCAAATTTTTCATCATTGTGATTGTATTAAGAAATTTGGTGCTTATCATATTGTGCCATCCATGCGTTTGTCCACAAAATGTAAATAAAGCAAAAAGTAGGTAAAAATAACAACCTGGAGTAGGTTTAAATACCTAGGTACCTGTAGCTATAATTAGTGTTCAAAGTAGGTAGAAATAGTCCTTTGACTGTACCTGCTACTCGTACTTGCCGAATAGCTGCAGATCTGTAGCGTTGTGGTTTTATATATTTGTCTTTGACCATAACGCTACAGATCCCGTAATGCAAAAAGATGCAATTAACGAAGCAATATTTTTTGCGCACTTATGGGGAGAATTTCTCCAGTTTCCATCACCAGCATACTAGGCGTCGTAACCGGGGGAGGAGATAGGGGCTTTTTTTTTTAAAGATAGACTTACTATAGACATTGAACCTAAGATACCCCCCCCCCCCCACTCCCGCCACTTTCCACCTTCTAGTTGGATAAGAAAAAATGTTAGAAAAAATAAGTTCGAACCTACGAAATAGGATTTTCGTGTTTTGACGATGGACAAGTTTTCTTTTTTTGCTTGTCAGGTTTTTAAGTAGGGTCTAAAAAAATTTCTTACACACTTAGCCCTTTCAATTTGCTTCCATTTTCCAACGATCTACCTACCCGTTTTAGTCGTCTCTATAAGTGATAAACTCGCATGATTAAAACTATACGTTAGATTGCTTAAAATTCACTTCAAGCGAGTTTATTGCCTGTAGAGACAACTATAAATAAAAAAAACACTGTAAGACGTTCTCTAGAGTTCCACTTTGTGCTTACAGAAGATTTAAGGCAAAAGTTCAGGAGAGGAAGTCAAAAACTAAAACGTACAATGTCAAATTTTCTTTCGTCCAACATTTTACGTAAATATCGCTTTCTGAACAGAGCAAAAGTGGAAATTGGCATGCAAAACAAAAACATCAGAAGGGGAAATATACTCTTTGACTCAAACAATGTCAAAGGATGAATAAGGAATAGACAAGTTTGTTTGAAAGAGACGATAAATGTCGTCTGACCTCAGGAGTTAAAGATATAAATAATAATATACGGTTACAAGAAAGGAAACGAAGAAGCAGAAAAGAATTCTGCTATGCAGCCTTAAGGAATTACATCAAAAATATTTGAATGAAAATAAATTAAGAATAAGTTACTCATCCCTTTGCAAAAAAAAAACCCAAAGCATTTTATACCTTTGAGTATTAAGAAAGCAAACCAACCATATTACGTGTTAGCTCCAGAACTGTAGCGTTATGGGTTTGTATATCAAATCTTTGACCATTACCTTACAGACCCCGTAATGCAAAGAATGTGCAATTTTAAGGCGCAAGATTTTTTGCGCACTGTTTCGGGGAACCTCTCCACTTTCCAAACACTGGTAAATCATCTATCTTTCCCTTCATAATTCTAGACATATTTGTAATAAATCTGTATATTTTATCAATTGTTCAAATTGATTAAAAAAACAAACATTTTCTTAATACAAATTTTCAAACAAATTGACTCGATCATAAATAAAGTGTGTAACCCCGCCCCCTTTTTTTTGGTAATAGACAATGTATGCTCATACATGTATCTCCCATTGTGTACACATGTACAGTGGCTGGAACGTTATTGTTGACAACTTACACGAACGATCACGTTACACGAACGATTCCGCACGATTAACGTATGATTAAACCTGTTACACGAACGATCTTTCACGTTCATGATTCTACACGTTACACGATCTTACACGATTGTTAACGCAAACGCACGATTCTTCACTCAAAATAGTTCAAAATATTTAGGAATTCAATATTTTCAAAACGAAATACGGCTTAATACTTATTTAAGATTTCAAAGAATTATCAATATTATTTTATAGACTTTGAAGAAAAAAACGGAAAATGATATTTCTGTAACTAAATATATGCAAGACTTAATATTTTAGATTAAAAATAATTATTTCTAAGGTAATTCTCCGATAAAAAAAAAAACGGATTTTGTTCGTTCTATTAGACGATGTACATGTATGTGGGTCGTATAATTTGATTGAATTGGATATCATGATATGCAGAAAGGGGGATACGATTGAACAAAAATGGCAGCATGGAATGACTTAAATAATAATTACAAATTTTATCCTTATGTTTCCAATGATTCAATGTCTGATAAACTTGCCAATTATTTAACTTTTTTATTTGCAGAAATTTAAAATTAATTAATTACAAATAGGCTCAAGACATAAACACAGATAATCAAAACTCCCGAAAAATCATGCCGTGTCCATGTATATTTATTTTCAATGAATTGATTTCAAGATTATCTTGACCACAATGAGAAGTAAATAATAATTAAAATTAGATTTTTCAAAAAGGCGTTAAAGATCTAAGTACGGTTTATCACAATATTGATCGCGCTATTTGACGAGAACTTAATATTGTACGACTTACTATATTGATTGTTTACGGGCGATAATTAGTTCGGTCTGCATTCTATTATGTAAATTGCGCTTTTTCATTTTATTTGGATTTTAATTAATAAATTAAGAAAAACAAACAAGAGAAATGCTTATTTTACAAATAACATTCCGATAAAAACTTACAAAACGAAATATAACGATTCTAAACGCACGATCCCGCACGATTAAAAACGCACACGATTGATTCTGATACACGAACGATCACTCACGATTCTACACGATTGGTTTGTCAACAATAACGTCCCAGCCACTGTAGCATGTAAATTAAATTTATCAATTTTATATCATTCGTTTATTGAGAACAACAAATGTACATTTAGATTAAGGAGCAACTATGCAGAAGTACATCGCTCCACTGTGGTTTATTTTCAATACAAAAGAATTTACAAATGAGGTCGGAATCGGTATTCAATCAGGGATTAAGGTCAGGGTGAAAGTAGACTAACAGAAGTAGACAGGTTTAGTTAAAGTATGTGTGTGAACATGCACACTAACAGCCCCCTCCCCATATTTAGTAACTGCATTACGTATATTTGTTAAATGTATTTCAATTACACTGGATGCTGGATCCCACATACGTTTTCCAGATAATGGACCAGGTAAACTTATGGGTGCAAGTTCAACACCAAGAAACTATAAGGCTTATATTAACCAAATTTGCATAAATGATGCATCAAGGGATGAACACTCTAAAAATTCCTTTAGATGCTTAATTTGAATGACATTTTCTTAATGGGCAACTAGTTTGAAGTTTTCGGATATTTCTATTTCCAAGTAACTGCAAGCCCTATCAGATCAAAATTGCATAAATTTTGCATTTTGGGATGTCAACTTCTAGAATTTTAGTAAATCGTGGGACTTGGCCTTACTAAAGACAACATTCGTTGAGGTGAGCTCTGTAATCTCCGATTACCTATGTTTTAGACTATATACTTGGATCCAAGGGAGGTTTCAACCTGTGTATACACTTATAAATGTGTTGGTCTGAAAACTTGACGTATCACAAACAAAATACTACACAATTTACCAGTTATTATAATAATTATGTAATTGAAAGTGATTGCGACATCCAAAGATAACTAAAAGTGCTTGCGACATCCAAATAGCGAATATGGACGGATTATGTGAGAATATGTGCACATCAACGTCACTACGTAAACTATATTAAATATACAATAGAAACAACAATACATGGTAAAATCAGTATCACAACCCATATCAATCCTCGACCAATATCAGCCCTTGGGATTATATTGGAGTCTCGGGTCGATATGAGATGTGATACATATTTTGCCATGTATTATTCTCTCTCTCTCTATATATATACAGAGAAATCATTTTATATATGTTGATAATACACAGTTATCAATATTAGACCTGAAAATAATATTGCAAGGTTCTTACATGGTGATTGTGGTTCAGGCCTGGATTTACAGTTGACAAGTGTAAAATTTAAGCAGTCATGTTTATCTGTGGAATAAAGCATAGGATAAGGACATTCATTCAGGAAACCACCAAACTTTGATTGTCGATGTGAACAGTTGAAGAACTGGGCACAGTTCCAAGGTTGTGCAACAGTGACAGTTGGATAGGCTTGACAGTAAGAGACCATATCGACTGCAATCATAAATAAAACATGGAATTCAATATGTAATGTTGATAAATTGTACAACCTTTGTAAGGATATCTTTACATTTATGATGTCTTCAAAAGAAATCAGCACTACACATAAAACTGCAACAGCAATAGAATCAACTCTCTCTGAACTTTAAAAATCTATGATAGCTAAAACCTATTACCAAAAAAAAAAAAAAAAAAAACCACACAGAATATCAGAGATTTTTTGTCCTGACAAAATCTCGTGTAAAATTAAATATTATACAATTATTGCTGTTTTTTGAGGTCAATACAATAATTTAGCCATCTGAGGAGTACAATATTCACCAAGCCCGAAGGGCTTTACTTCGAAGATGGCTAAATCATTGTATTGACCGAAAAAACAGCATTAATTGTTTTATTATATGATTCACTGATAAAATGATACAGCTCATTATATGTTTGCCTTTAATTAAGTCCCAGCCAAATACAAGAGAGAAGCAGAATTAGAATGTAAATAAACCTTACCAGTCGTATCAATTTGAAATGTTTTTTATCAATTTTAGTTGCCATGAAAAAAAATATATAATGTCAGTCTTTTTTTTACGATAGATTTTGAAAGGAAGGAGTATTATTAGGGAAAACTGACTGCCAAAAAGTAAAAGTTGTTGTTCAATAAAAGTGTTGGAGGGGGTTTCCTACATCCCCTCTTACATGTACCACACTCACCCGAAAATATATATTCGATTATGTTTTGTTCACATCAAAAAAAAAAAAAAAAGTCATAGTCGTTTAAATAGCTTTCCAAAACAATTTGTATCAATTTGAAATTTCTCGATCTATTTTTAGATCAATGTAGAGGAAATAAATCTTTGTATTCACCTAGAACGTCAATACAACGTAGTATTTTTCTAACATAGTTTGATCTCAACCATATAATAATTTGTTTTAATACGAATTATCCTCCCACGTGGCGCAATGGTTAGAGCGTCTGACGTTGCGCACGGTGTTAGTACTATAATATCTCTCTCTTTATGTCACAAAGAAATTGGCGGTTTCACGGTGTCATATTAACTTTTAACTAAAAATAAAATGATTTATGCTATCTAAAGAAATAAATAATTCTAAAAATTCTCTTCTCTGCTCTAGAATCGCGAGGTAAGGAGTTCGAAGCCCACTGTGGGATGTGGAGACCGGTTTTTCCGTATGAGACCGTACATGTATAAACCGAGGTCCCGTGTAGCAGTAGAACATTTTAATACATATTGTTTTCCTTTGATGTGGTTGAAACGGTTTGTATTATTATTGTTAGGTATAGTATAGCTTTGATTTTGTTATTTAAGCTTTAAAACTTTCAGAAATGAACACATCATAACATAAGGCTGCTTTATATTACTGGTGTGCATTCGACGAACAAGAACATTCCTACCAAAACGAATCTTTTTGCATAAAAAAATGACGAGGGGTCATTATTCTACGGGGTCATTTTTCTACAATGCACACAGAGAAAAACGCCCCCAAGGCCATAATTTCTACAAAAAAGTTGGACATTTTTCTACGTAGAGTATTGATCAAGGGGTCAAATTTATACGTACAAAAATGACCCCCGGTCAATATTCTACGGGGGTCACTTTTCGTCGTTACAACGGAAGCGAAGCTTAGAGCACGTGGATTTGCGGAATTAAGAGCATGTACATATAAGGAATAACTGTCATATTTTGGTTTCATGACGATGATCATTCAATCGATTGGCTTGCGTGATAATTTTATGTACATGTATAAACACCTTGGTTACGTATTTGTTGAGGCATGCCAAGAAATCCCGTCTAGTTTCCACAGCAGAGGAGTCAATTTATAAAAGTCTTAATTGGTGCCAATTACTCATATTCCCGTAAAACTACAGGTAGAAAAACAATCAACGGCAGCAGATCTATTTTTTCGGTTTTCAAGTTAAAGAAAAATAAACTTCTATCCCAAGGAAGTAGCCTTCTACATGTATGCCCCAAAGTATATAGATTTCAAGTGCCACATATACCAAAATTGTAAAAAAAAAAAAATAAATAATGACTGGAAGGAAATTTTTCAAATCAAAAGAAAAACGAATAATTTTATTAATTGGAACTACAGTTGACCTAAGTTCATTTTCTTTGGCCAATTACTAGTATGATACCTTAATTAAGCGCGGTACTTCTACAACAACTTAATTCGTGGTGCTCGATGTTAATGGAAAAGGGAAGAAAAAAATAATGAGATCTACTTAATCACATATCAAGTGGATACTTACATCCAACACACAATTTATTTATGTTGTTCATATTGCATATTTAGAATAAATCGAAAAATTAACCTTACAATTATAGAGGCATTAATTATACTGCTAGTCGTTTTTATTCCACGGTGTTAAAATTTCACGATTTCCAGTACCAATCGCGATTGTTTTAATTTCACGCTGTAAGAAATTAATTCAAACTTCGTATAAGCATTAAAACGTTTTAAAAATTAATGTTACGTTTGTAGCATTCACGATGGGTTTAATTTCGCGGAAAACTGAGAAATCGCGAACATAGTGAAATTAAAACCATCGTGATTATTTGCCAATTTACAATATTGCAGAGCAAAGAATTTTTATCAATTTTGGATACTTCCTTCTGGCTTTTTTTCTGCTGTGAAAAGAGGCCTAAGTTTTTATTAAGGTCTCAATTGAAAGACCCATAAGAAAAAGTAATTATGGGTATATATGTTATGGACTTCCCGAACGTTAACGACTAAAAAATGACGCATCTCAGAAATTGAACCACGGCCCGATCACAAAACAAGCGCTATTCCACAACGCGCCACCTTGACCCGTTAGTGGTGGAGAAAGAAGGAGCTGAGATGCGGGAATATGCAGATTATAGCAAGGAAGTTTCAAATGTTATTAATAGTTTGTGTCTTTGCTGCGGTGTTTTTCCTTTGAAGATCACTGTGTTTTATTAGTCCCCTACCGGTGAAACCGGAGGGGACTATAGGTTTCCTCTGCGTCTGTCCGTCCGTCTGTCTGTTTGTCTGTCCCCGTCTGTCTGTCCCACTTGGTTTACCGCACTTTTTTTCTAAACGCTGGCAGATATTGAGCTGATTTTTGGTACGTGGGTGTATCTTGATGAGTTACAGATCAAATTTGAATATCGTTCCGATTCAATGATTTTTTACGGAATTACGGCCTTTTCAATTTTTCAGGGTTTTCCGCACTTTTCTCCTAAACGCTTGCATATATTGAGCTGGTTTTTAGTATGAGATTTTACCTTAATTAGTTATAGATCAAGTTTGCATTTTGTTCTGCTTAATTGATTTTTGAAAGAATTATGGTATTTTTATTTTTTTAATTTTATAATTGGGTTAAATATAGGGTTCGTGATGCACTACATTTATGTCGTGATGCACTCAATTTATGTTCTAAACGAGATTGTCATGAATTGAAACTTGCTGGATAGCTTTTATAAATTGATTAGTTATAGATCAAGTTTGCATTTCGTTCTACTTCATTGATTTCTGAAGGAATTGTGGTATTCTTATTTTCTATTTTTTAATGATTGGGTTCACAATAGGGTTCTGATGCACTAAATTAATGTCGTGATGCACTACTGGATTCATGTTTAAAGCGAGATTATCATGATTTGAAACTTGCTGGATACCTTTATAGTGACAAATATAGATCAAGTTTGATTTCTTCTGGTATAAAATTATTGTTCAACCATGTAAAGTAAGCAGTTCTGATCAAAGCATTTGTGTGTGTCAAATGGCATTCAAAGACGTCATGAGTCTTTCTAAATGTAAGGCAGATCCAATACATTTCATTCATATTCAAGTAATAACTGAAACGTCCATATTTTTTAAGTAACAATTTTTCATACACAGGCTCTAGTAAAATGACACCCCAAAGAGAAAGGGGAACCCGGTAGGGGACATGTATTGCTTATTTTTGATACATCATGGCTAACTGTGATCTAACAACCGTGATCTATCAAGATAGAGCACGCCAGGGTGATGATGAAACAATTCTAATAAATGACCCATGACCTTACACTGAATAATTAGGGGAAAAGTAAATACAAAGTCATGTAAACATAGTGAAGGAACCCCTTAAAAAAATTAATTTTTCACGTCGACTTTTTTTTATCAAAAATAAAATTCACACAGCGCGTTTAGAAATTACTGTTTTGAACTTGACGCGTAACAAAGCACACACAATGAACTACATGTGCAAGAAATGAAGTAAATATTCCGAGCCGTCTTGTATTAATAATTCCAAACACAAATCCACACATCCAGTATTTTGGAGAATCGCCGTACATCTCGGTCAAAAGTGCCCATTTTCCCATGTGGTATTCTTTGAACGTTAAAATTGCCCATTTGGTATTTTTACGAGTGTAAAGATAACGTGACATAAAAATTTCCTTCATAATTTAGTTTGTATCGAGAATTGCAAAAGCATAAAATCACAACCGTCATCCATACCGTTCAGATTTGAATTGCGAGGTAATTCTAAAGTTTAAGAAATGCAGCGCGCTATACTTTTCGAATCACGTGCTTCTTTTTCATTGGTCAGAAAAAATTGTATGATGAAATTTTGATAGATCATGGCTAACTCAGTCCGTGAGAATACAGTTGAACTACGTGCTATTAAGGAATCGGATGTACAATTGAGCACTAGAGCTCGGATTTTCCGGAATGACCTCGGTAGTTTAAGGGGAGAAGTAAAAAATCTTAAAATGAATATATTTAATTTTTTTTAATTCAACTAGATTAATACTCATATATAACAATTAAACGGCAAAGTTGATACCCTGAAAATTATTTTTTGAGTTTAAAAAACAAAATATCTAAATATCTCGTGGCGTCGTTACAAACAATTTTCAATACGGCGGCGTCCATGTTGAAACGAAACAAGAAAGGGCGCTTCAAAAAGTCGCCGGAAACTAAAGTAATAGTGGACCACAACTATATATCTGGTCATCCTTGTGAGGGAGAAACATGTGAAACCTGTTTTCCAGCTGGTATGAAAAGTCTTATAAATAGCAAGAATTTAGTTCAGACGGTTGGAGAAATGGCAGACGCGTTATAGAATGGATTACAGTTATAGATGCCTTGGAAAATTGCTGCCACTGTAAATGCAGGCCTCTATATCTTACGGAAAAAAAACATAAAAGGTGAGATGAAACTTGGATTTGGCGGGTACCTATACGTACAGTGTACCTTTTGTTTGAAGCTCAAAAGGATTCCCTTTGGCAAAACGCACAGAGACGAGGGGCATGAAAAGGGGATGCCAAGCTTTTGTATAAATACGAAAGTTGGTGCAGGTACATGTATGTTGATTGCCTATTTTTATTGTTGCAAATGACGTTGTTATGTATTCTGTTGTAATTTGTATGTAAAGCTTGAAAGGAATAACAAACAAATATTCCTTGTAGCTATGATTGACAGTGTCGGTGGACCGCAGAGAATGAACAATCTTCTTACAACCTTGGATTTGCCATTCATTAATAATCCGTCGTCAATTCAGTGTATAAATAATGGACTAACAATTAGTATGAAAAACGTCAGTCAGCATTTGTCTTAATGATAAATTGTATTTGCTGACAATGTCGTTGTATCGACCAAAGAACTTACGAAATGATAAACTTGAAACGAGACTGCTGATCCATGATATTCTTGTTTCATCAACTTGCTTGTCAATAATTTACCTCGTATTAAAAATAATTCATACGTAGAACATGCTCTTGCTTATCGAATCAACTGAGATATGTATACTCCGTATGCAAATGATGAAAGTATATTGCTATATAAGTAAGGGAAGTTGACGATAGAAAAGTTAAAGTCATCACGTTTATCATATAACTTGGTTGTTAGATTTCCATTAACGTCTTTTTCAAGCAAAATATCTAAGTATGAAACAGATGTGTCAGACTCTTGGTATCTTTTATCTCAAGCTCACCAGGATATATCGTATCGACGTAAGAATGGAAATTACCATTGTTAATTGACAATACGTCGTCGATATATCTAAATGTCGAGTTGAAGGCCACAGCAAGTATGATTCGATCTCTCTAATCACTACACGTCATTTTAAAAAAACTCCTCGCCTTTTCTCTCTGTTTTATTTGAAAGACAGAATAACCAACGTACCACACAGTCACACATACATAATAAATTTCTCATTGAATCACACATTCTTCTATTTTAATTAAAATTTCAATTTTTGCCTGAATCGGGTCAATTTACTGACCTTTGTTCTGGAATAATTCGCATCAAATGCTTAACCGGAAATCGATCTCTTTTAATTGTTATGAATACCTGCTGGTTATGCAACTGATCGATTAGCTGGAGTGGCAATGAGCTTGGCTTAGTTGTACATTCTATATATCTTATTTAAATACATCAGTTGATTGTACTAACCTGGGTCAACAAAGTCAGAGCATCTTCGCGTTCTGGGGTTGAAGTATCCTACTCTGCATTTTAATACTTCAAGTGTTCTATTTTCAAAACAGACAATGTAGTCTTCACCCCAAAGATGACTTGGGTGGGGGTTCTGGCCATCACTCAATCCTAAACAGCTAGGCAGACGAATCGGACAAGGCTGACATTTCTTATCACTGGGCTGACACAAGTTCTGCTTATATTCGCCTATAAGTTGGAGCAAAAAAGGCATTTCTTTCTATTTTTTCTTGTTTGAGAAGCCCCTGACCTGTGATAAAAGATTTTATAGAATTATAATGTATTCGAATGTATTTCAAATACTTACACGGTGTCTGAGGCTCATGCCTAGCACCACATGGCACAGACTGGAAATCATCACACCTAAGAGAAGACTGAGAGAAGAGATCTGGATATCTACACTCTTGCAGCAAAGACCCTTCTCCAGATACAGCAGCAGTACAGTTATAGAACTGAGCGCAGTTTACACGATGAGGCTGAATGGCACGTGGATTGACCTTGCAGAACTCCTCCCACTCATCTGTCACATTAATATCAAATAAAAGAATGTTTTAAACAATTATTTAAACGCTTCAGTACAGAAACCTTACCATTTGGACAATTTTAGTAATAGATATTTTATTTTAAGGTATGTCCCTCGTGAAATTAGTTATATCAAGGATTTTGTGACAAGTATATTTTAGATTGGTACTTTTTACCCGACGACATTTACGGAAGAAAGGAAGAATTCCACTAAGGACCACAACTGGATTTACATGTAGTGTCTGTAGTGCAATTGTAATTAGGTAGAAATTTGTTCTTAAATATACATTGAATTATTTAAAATACCTATCATAAAAGAACAGAAAATATTTTCTAAGTAGAAATATAATAGTTCTAAAGATCCAAGATATTAAAGGTGACAAATGTGCAGATTTGAAAAAAAAATTTCTGATATCCTTACACCACAAGAAATAGTCCCTCATAAATCTTGTCTCTGTATTTGTGAGAAGTTTTTAAGTTAAATATTGTATAATGTACATTGCATGTTTAGTAAAAATTTGTATAAAAGTGAATTGTAATAAAAAGTATTATAGTGAGAAGTCCTTACCGAAAAATTTCTTAAAATCTATGTAAGATACAAACTTAATGTTACCCACACGCTCCCCGACTCCCCTTTTTGAATAAACAATATCAAACACTCGCGGCCTCAGAATGAACTCCAATTTATTTAGGTTAGCAGGAGCTTTTAATAAGAAATGATGCTTGATTTACTAGGAAATTTTTGAATATATAAAATGAATATCCTTATAATATCAAACACTCAGGTATTTTTGAGGGACCGTCTCAAAATGCAGGTACATTTACTATAGGATTATATAGGAAAACGCTAATTTTTAGCACTTTAAAGCAAATTATACAAATACTACAATAGACATTTTGTTCAAACTATAATATTTGATGAGTAATACTATATTATACAATATATGTAAGAAACACAAAATTCTACCGTCTTGTTACCAGAGAAGGCATCTCAAAATGCAAAAAATTAGTAAATTTTACTATTTTTATAGGTATTACAAAATTAGCATGGATTCACATGAAGCTTTTATATGAAATGTTTTGATGCTTGTTTATTACTTTTTCTTTAATAATATTTTTTTACTAGGAAATTGGCTATAAAGGTGAATATATAAATTGATGAATATCCTTATAATAAGAATCTTAAAATGTTTGATTTTTTTCCCAAAAGATAACAAAGGCCCTGTCGGTAGTATTGACATCGCTCTAGTGTTATATGAAAATTGTCATTTATATCTCTCTTCAAAGACAAGGTCTCTGATATAAGATACATAATGATGATTGTATTTTCTGTATCTAACGAAATGTGAAAACACTGTACACATGTATTTAGAAAGGCGACAAAAGATTAAGGTATCCGATCCACAATTTCCCTTTATCAAATCGGCCGACTTCGGAACATGTTGAAGTATTGTATGTAAAAACTGGCATCGCTGGTAATCGTTTATATTTATATTCAGTATTAATCACACAACAATTACAATATAAGGTGCAATCTATCTGCAACACACTTACACAGGACTCAACAATCAGCCACAAGAATTAATAATAAAAACCTTAAAGTTATGGAGCGCAGAGCTGGTGAGATGACTGAGAAATTTGCATATGAAAATATAAGGAATGAAAGTCAATAAGCATTCAGAGATGAAATGAGGTATGTATACTTGTATAAAATGTTATTATTTCTAATGAAAGCATATTTTTGAATTTTTATATTCCTTTTATTAACTTTTTGTTTGACTTTTTAAATTCATAATATATTTGGTTAATTTCAGGGCAATTGCAACACAGGAGATGGATTCAAATGCAGATTTTTATGATAAAGAATTTGGTGTTGCAATAATTGAAGATGAATTTTTTGAAGGGTAATTATTTGAAGTTTGAGCATATTATAATCCATTAAAAAATATATAATGTACCCTAAGAATCAATTTCTTTATTTTCAAAATCAATATCTTGTGTTATTTGTAAGATCCATCACTCAATAAAAATGCAATTTGGGAGCATATGATTTACTGACGGAGAGGTAAATAAATCAGTATTTGTGTACTATTTTTAGCTGATAGTCACATACATCAAGAACCTATTATAATATGTCAATTGTAAACATGCTTTCAGTTATAGTCCATCCCCTCAACTTCCTGCCAAATCAATGCCAGTAGTGAAAAAGTTGGTGTTGACAGAACTGCATCCACCAAAACAAAAAAAGAAAATTATATTCCCTTCAAAGACTCGATCAGGAATGACAGTAGCAGCCGATCATGCTTGGCAAAAGAAAGGTTATGACAGCTTAAAAGTTATTTTGTTGAAACTGTTCCAGCATTTTTACAATTATAATGCTTATGTAGATATGGGCTGTAACAAAATCAAGTATGTATTTGTAACAGGACATACTTACCTGATAAGTAAAAGAAACAAAGTATTAAAGACAGTTATCAAGCATCGGTCATGTGCATCATGGAAATGGTAGAAAAGAAATAAACCTGGTCAGAGAATAAGGTCTCACATTTGTGTTTGGACCCACCGAGGCAGTGCTAAAATCATGGAGAGGGAGGCTGGACTGCTTGCACTGAAAGAAATGACAAGTCAAGGTACACCAGTTGAGATTATTGAAGGTGAGGGGGATAACACTCTAATCACCCGTCTACAGAGTCAGTGTGGTCTACCAGTTGTGAAAAGACTTGACAAAAATCATTGTGTTAAAAATATTATAAAAAAAATTTTTTTATGAACTTCGCAATTCGAAAGTGGTCAAAATTTCCATGCAGGTGATACAGCATTTAGCAAAGTGCATCAAATACAAATTTGCGAAGAATCAAGGTGATGAAGAGGGAATGCGGGAAAATTTGGTAGCATTGGTTCCACATCAGTTTGGTGACCACAGCAAATGTCATGGGAGGTTTTGTGCTTATAAACGTAAACCTAATGAAACTTATATTCATAGAAGTTTGCCATATAAAGTACCGTTGCAGGATCCATTGTTACATCATAGCTTTGATGAAAGTTTTGCTCCAATCAGTGCCAAAAGTGCTTCATATGTAGAATTAGAGTCAAGTCAGGCATGTGAACATGCCAATAGAGACATGTCTTAGAGTTCCGAAGCATTATGGCGAAAGTGAGAGTTTAGATTTTAGAGTGAAAGCAACAGCAGCATTTATTAATGAGGGTAGAAAGTACTTGTCAGAGGTATATTGTTCATGGTTCAGTTCTTTCTTTTCTGTTGTTTATTGATTTTTCTGGTGATACAGGTTGGAATTTTGACAGGTACTTCTGTTGTTGTTATTTCTTGTTGGGATTAGGTGAAATGTTGACATTTGTTAATTTTCTTTGTTCTGCCGTTCTGTGTTTACTTGTTCAGACACTATAGATTTGGTATTGTTGAAGCACTAATATCATAAATTCTATTTATTACATTATCATGTTTACAATTACCTGGTATTTCCGATAGGATATTACTTGTGTGATAAATTAGTTAAAATGTTGACATTTTGTTAATTTTCTTTGTTCTGCCGTTCTGTGTTTACTTGTTCAGACACTATAGATTTGGTATTGTTAATATCATAAATTCTATTTATTACATCATCATGTTTACAATTACATGGTATTTCCGATAGGATATTACTTATGTGATAAATTTTTGATACATTTTGATGAAGTTACAACATATTTTCTGCACTTTTATCAAAAAAACAATAAGACTCAAAGATAGAAAACTCAGAATTTTTTGTTGGGAAATAAAAGATCATGACTAATGAGAGATTTAATTTAATCTATGAAAATTTACTACAATAATGTAGTGAACTCAAGTATTTTATTTTGTAATATATACAGACAACGACCTATCTCCTGGACACTTCTGTGAGTCTTATGCAGAAAAGATATGGATGCAGACAGGATAAAGAGGATGGAGCGGGCCAGATTACCAAAGAGAAAGAGAAGAGGGCTGATGTTGAAGGAAGAGGGATCAAGGGAGGAAAAGAAGCATTGGAAGGACTGTCCTATCAGTCTGGTTTGTCATTTTTCAGATACAGATTTTATTATTATAGTATGTGCAAGTTTGTATATCATTATGTAATTTTTTTTGTTTTAGAAATAGGACTTTCTGTAAATGATTAAGAAGATATAGAAAGTATCCCTGAGCCTGAGCCAAAACCCAGCTTTTGCTCTTCCACAAAGTTGAAGCACTGCCCTTCACCAAATGTTGTCATTTTAGATCTGGAACAACTGGCCTGAGTAAATATTTTTTTTTAAATAATTATTTAAAATACTCTATCCAATCAAATAAGATTGGACTACCATTAAAATTGTCATCCATATTTTTTTCAGTTCAGCATGGTATTATGCCAAACATCAACTATATTACTTCTGTAAATAGGAATACAAAGGAGCAGTTCTCCAGATATGTGGCTCCAGACCTGCCCATTGTACCAATGGCGGAAAAGGTCACCAAACATAACCTGGAGTGGTGGAATTCTATGTTACCGTGGTGAGCCAGTTGATTTTGTGAGAAAAAAAGTCGGAGGATTTCTTGGAGTGGTTAGAGAAATTTCCCAGCGTAGTAATGGTAGCACACAATGGCCGAACATTCGATTTTCGAGTATTATGCAGGGCATTTCATAGATGTGGTTTGCAAGAGAGATTCTGCTCTAAAGTTGCAGTGTTTTGTGACTCACTTAAACTTTTCAGACAAAAGTACCCTAAACTTGATAAACATAAGCAAGTATTTCTGACACAGCATTTTTTGGTCATGCTTACAATGCTGTTAATGCTCTTGATGATGTTGTCATGCTAGATGAAATTATTGAAGCTGGACTTGTCTCTGTTTCAGACTTTAAAAAACATTCGAACGATACAGGATGCCAATTTATTCAAGAAGAATTTAATTTTTGTAAATCAAAAAACGTTGCTTCGCTTCGTCCTCTTATTGGTGAAAAAATAATGAAATCCAGCACGGTAGAA